TGTTTCAGTCTTGGTGATGGAGTGTTCGGTTTTGGGTTATATTTATAGGTGATTTAGGAGTGTTTGAGTACAGCATTGAGTTGGGAGATTGAGTTTGATTGCGAATTAAGCATGCGTGTTTTTAAGGATTTTTTATTTAAATCTTAATAATTTAGCCATGCAGTTGAGTTTTAATGGGAGTTTGAAATTTAGTAAATTTAACTGAGAATTAATGGAGAATTATAAAACTAATAATGGAGAATATAATTTTTAATGGGAAAAGGAATAATATAATATTGTTGAATAGAAATATGAATTTTAATATTGTTATATTGCTAATATTATGTTTGACTATTTTACTACTCAATCATCCCTTTCTGACCGACATATGTTCAAATATTATATATATGTTATAATAACGATAAAATTAATTGTTTTCAAAAAAGAAAACGATAAAATTAACAATAATTATAATATATGTTGCTTCTTATTTCTAGTATTTGTATTGCCAGATTTATTTATCACGCACAGAGTATTTAAAATTGTTTTAATATTGTCCTATTGTATTACAAATAGGAATTTTAATATAGAATTATAGTATGAATAGAAAAGTATGAAAGAATATATTCTATTAGGAATTGTATTATACTATTTTACAATATTAGAATATGAATTTTAATGTAAAATTATAGTACGAATAGAAAAGTCGGAAAAAATATATTCTATTAGGAATTGTATTACACTATTTTACAATATTAGAATGAAATTTTAATGTAGAATTATAGTACGAATAGAAAAGTATAAAATAATATATTAAAATTTGAGGATTTTGGGCGGGAAGTTAAGTTGAGGATTTTGTTTTTATATATAGTATAGATTATAGATTATAGATATAGTTTAGAATAAGAATTGTATTACACTATTTTATAATATTAGAATAGGAATTTTAACTTAAAATTATAGTACAAATATGAAAGTAGAAAACAATATATTTTTATCAGAAATAGAGATTTTTTAAGAATTGGGCGAGAAGTTAATGTTCAGGATTTTATTTTTATATATAGTGTAGAAGTATAGATTTGAATAGGAATTGTATTACACTATTTTATAATATTAGAATAGGAATTTTAACCAAAAATTATAGTACGAATAGAAAAGTAGTAAACAATATATTTTATTATAAAGAGAGATTTTCTAGAAATTGGGCGGGAAGTTAAAGTTCAAGATTTTGTTTTTATATATACTATAAATTATAGATTGCCTAATAATTATTATGGTAACTAGTATTTTTTTATGCGCAATGCGCAAAAAATAGGTGCACAATATTAATACATTATATTAAAATATTAAATTTATTTAGATTTTAGATATTTAAATTATTCTAAATAATAATAATAATAATTATAATAATAATAATGTAAATCATTTTTATAAATTTGATATTTATATTTTAGGTAATAATTAACATATAACTCAAATATATAATGTGTATATATTATTATTTATGAAGAAGATAAGAAAATATATGGTGGATGCATGTGCATGGTAATAATAGTGGAAAAGATAACGGTAGGGATATGTTTGTCCAAAATATTTTAATGTACAACTTTTATAATATAATGTACAAAAAAAACTTAACGAAAAAAACGGACATAAATGAGGGGTATAACTTTCATTCACACTTATTATGTTTTTAGATTAGATTAGACTAAACATGAGTCGTTAGATTTATTTTTATAAGGGAAAATTGCACTTTTTCCCCCTGAGTTATATACTTATAGCATTTTTTCCCCCTGAGTTGTTTATGTAAGCATATTAGCCCCCTCAATTATTTTCAAAGTGGCGATTTTTCCCCCTGATATATTAAATTGACATTCTTACCCTTAAAGTAAACATTTTATTTATTTTTCTTCTCCAACAAATTATTGTTTATACGTAGGGATGACCACGGTTCGGTTCGAACTGAACCGGACACTATAACAATCGAATTGAAAGTTTCCGGTTATGATTCAGATCCAGAACCCAAATTTTTAGATTTCAATTTATTACAGTTATGAATAAAAAAAACTGGATTCTGAACCGTGAACCAGCGGTTCCAGATCCGGTTCGTGATTTTGAATCGTCTTTATTTTAACATTTTATTTTTATTTTTAAAATAGTCTAAATTCAACAATAAATGTATTTTATTTTTTTTCAGTTCGGAACTTGAACTGGCCGTTCCGGTTCACGATTTTAATAAACTCTAAATATCAAGTTTTAATTCTAAATTATAATTGGAATATTTCAGTTTAGTTGCTATAGTGTCTGTTCAGTTTGAACCCAATCGTTGTCATAATTTGTTGGGGAAGAAAAATAAATGAAATATTTGTTTTAAGCGTAAATATGTCCATTTAACATTTCAGGGGGAAAAATAGCCACTTGAATAATTCAGGAAAAAAAGTGCTATAAGTATATAACTCAGGGGGAAAAAGTGCCATTTTCCCTTTTTATAATAATTCCAATTAAATTATTTCTTCTTTTTTACCATATTTATTTTAATAATAATATAGTTACATAAATCATATTACATATCAATTTTTTTAAAGATAATTACAGACAAACGAGTCATAAATTATTCAATTAATTGAATGATACTTTTTGCACTAATCTTATAATCAAATAAATTTACACTTTCAAATATTAGAATTGTTTATAATTTCATCTTTACTTTTATTATCTAAATATATAATAAAAAAATTTTATTCGTGCATCGCACGGATAATTGAACGATTATTTGCTCGAATTTAAGTAAGGATAACATCAGAAAATATAATTAGAGTTATCAATGTTGACTGGCGGGGCAAGGCCCGCCAATGCCCGCCAAAATGCGGGCCTAAGGAGAGCCAGCCCGCCTCTCCTTAGGCCCACGTGGATGGGTGGGGGCCCGCCATTTTTTTTTTTAAAAAAATTTAGTATGCGTCTCTATTAATTGACAACTACTGATATACAATTATACATTGACAAATACTGTGACGGTGGATGGGAGAACCGAAAAATGTGACAGAGGGAGAGTTGGAGAATCGGAGGCGACGGATCGGAGGTGGTCGGCAATGACGCGTTGCGCCTGTGTTGGTAGACAACGCCTCAACCACCCCTTGCAATCTTATTTGCCCCGTCCGCCATGGATTCGCCATGTATGTACTAACTACAAAACACGCAAAATCAAATCAAAGCACATCTTAATTCATTAATTAACTTAGATCTCTATTGATTCTTTTTCTCTTTTGGAGAATCGGAGGCAGCATAACCCAGAAGAAGAGTGGGAAATGGAAGAATAGGAAATTAGGGCTGGCTGTGGCTGGGCGGTTGAGTCTTACAGCTCGTTTGGTTCGCTGGAAAATATTTGAAGGGAAATGGAATTGAAGTTCCATGGAAAATAAATTCAAAGAAAACAGATTCCATTGTTTGGTTGGTGGAAAAGAAATTACTAGGAACATGAATTCCATTGTTTGGTTGAGTTTGGAATGGTAAGGAATAATGAGTATAATGACAAATATAACCCTACACAACAATAATAATAAGAGTAATTAATAAAGAATGGTGAGGGTAAAATTGTCATATTAGTTTTCCATGGAAAACAAAATACCTAGCGTAAGCTAGGAATTTGTTTTCCTTGTTTTTAAGGAAAACTTTTTCCAATGAAAAATGTTTTCCATCCAACCAAACAACATAAAACATCATTTTCCTTCACTTTTAGGAAAACATTTTCCATGGAAAATGTTTTCCATCCAACCAAACACCCCCTTAGTCTTTAATAATTCAATCGTTATACCCTGCACCACGGCGCGCATAGCACTGTGCGCCCCACGCCTCCCAAAACGACGTCGTTTTGGGATGCGCGGTAGGGAGTTGACGTGATTATGTGTATTTGTTTATACAATTATGTATATTTGTTTATACAGTTATGTGTGTTTGTTTATACAATTATGTGTATTTGTTTATACAGTTATGTGAAACGACGTCGTTTTACATCCGGGCGCACAATGCAATGCGCGCCCTGGTACACGATATAAATTGCCTTAATAATTAATAATCTATTTTTTTTTTTAAAGCGGCCCGCCCCGCAGGTTAGGTGGGGGCGGGCTAAAAAGCCCGCTCTAATACAGGCTTTTAAAACTCGAGCCCGTCCTGTCCGTTTGGCGGGGCGGGACAGGCTAGCCCGGCGGGCTAAGCCCGCTTTGATGGCTCTAAACATAATCGATCCAACCCATTTCATCAATTGCACTTAAAAATATTCGTTGTTATAATTTATATAATTGTATATTGATTCAAATATTCTTAAAATATTATAATAAATCAATTTCGTACAACGCGTGTGTGTAAATACTAGTTTCAAATAAAAATTATGGACATTGTTTTCCGTACTATAAATAAAGACCTCTATTTCAAGTGAAAGGGGCGACAAAGAAGTTATTCAAATATTCAAGTTTCGAGTTTGAAGTGTTGAAGCATTCAATTATTAAGTATTTAAATACTTAAGTCAAAATATTTCAAGTATCAAATCTCGAGTATCTCAAGTTTAAGAATTTCAAATATAATGTTTGTTGCACTCAAGCCAGATTTGTTTGTAGCAAAGTGTTTTGATCTTCGACTAAATTTCAAATGGATACTCAAGTATTCATAAAGTATTCAAATTCAAATCAAAAATAGAATTGAAGGATTTTTTTAGAGATTACTATACCTATGATTGAAAGAGTCACTAGGCACTCTTCCTATACTCGGGAAACATCTAATGCCTACTGTGGTCAAGAAGACCCAGAAGGTGAACGTTGAGACCAATTCTACTGTGCTCAAAGAAGCATATACAACGTAAAATACATTATTCTAACTTATAAAACATATTATTCTAATATACAACGTAAAATACATTATTCTAACTCATAAAACATATTATTCTAACTCATAAAACATATTATTCTAACTCATAATATTTAAGAATGTCGTTTAGACCGTGATTTACACAATAATTTGTCACTATGAGCAAAGGTTTGGTTCATTGGCCCAAATGATTTTTAGTTTCCCGGGAAAGAATTCCAATACATCTAGCCTTCACCTAAGATCCATCGCAGAATCGTGACAATGTCGTCGACGTCAACGGCGAGATGGTTGAATCGAATGGCTTCAGATCAGTACTGTCTTCTCCACTTCCTTGCATTCTTCTCCTACATCCCTATACGCTCCTCCGCCTCACATCTTCTCCTTCCGTCTCGCTCCTCTCTCCTCTTCGAACGCGTACTCTCTCTCTCTCTCTCTACAAACTCGCAACGCACATACAATTTATTATTATTTTTTTAAAAGTGAAATATCGCTAATAGGGCTTAACTAATTCACAGGAGATTCAAGCAGTTGTCGTTTTTAGTGTGATAGCTGCTGTTAAGGTATGCATTTTTTGCTGATTTCTTCGTTTTCTTCCTACTGTTTTCTGTCTTTAAAATTCAATTGATGTTTGCACTTGACACTTGACAGACAGTGAGGGCGGAAACATGGCAGACGGTCATTTCAGATTCTCTGTTATTTGCAAAGGTGTTCTTTTTGCTCAATTAATCCTTCTTTTAGGTTCATGATGTTCGATTGAGTTTTTGTTTCATTTATTGATGGGCTTATTTTGTAACAAGTAGATCATTTAACTGTGTGAATCTGCTACCATAGTCTGACGTGCTTAAGAAACTGAATTCGTTTAAGATCTAAAAAAAAATATGGTGTTTGAATTTGGACAAATGGTTGGCATAGGGAGAGAGGGAAAGTTACTCATGAATGCACGAAGTAGCTATTCATTACAATTTGCACCCTATGGAAATATTGTGGGAGTTTAGTATGTGGAGTTGTTATCATTTGCCATTTGATTTAGAATTGGCTTATATAACATACATCAAGCATGTGGAAAAGAGAGAGTTATCTACTGGGAGTATTTTTTCTGGTAATTGCTCCAACTTTGGAGGTTCTAGTTGATATTAAGTCCTAAACTTATTTTCCCTATATTAGGTTTTAAAATGAGATTGAATATGTGAAAAGAACATATTGCACCAGAACAGGGATAACTTGAAACGCTCATGTAGTGCATACTGATCTGCACACACTTATCCAGTGTCACTATGAGAGCAATTTGCCAAATGTGATAAATGGTAGAAATAATATAAACATGAGAAATGTATAGCCCATACTGTTCTTTGTTGTGTTGAAGATGAGAAATACTTGAAGGATATATGGAATACGTTGCCTATGACTTAAATATTACAATTGATGCATAAGAATCAAAATGAGCCCCACAAATCAAATTACTTAGATCAGATACTTCTATGTCTAAAAGAATGGCTTAAATAACTTAGCATTCACTAAATGGTTACTTTGTATTTGGAAAATTAAAATATAAAATTTTAATTTTGTTAACATTCAATTGATGAAGGAAAATTTTGCATAGAATAAACATGCAACTAGAAAACTTGGATTCTATCACTCTTATCAGTGAAATTTGGAACAAGATTCTTAACTTATCAAGAGGCCGACCTCATGGATTTTAGACCTTTTTATAGCTTTTCCCAAGTTAGCTTAATTTGAAGTACTTGAGTGCCAAATACAGGAAATTGGTTTCCAACTTGTACTCTTATATCCAGCAAGTCATATGATGCCTTAGTTACCATTTAATTTGATGCCGTTTATTTTGGATGAACTCACTTAACAATTGCCCTTGCATTTCCAGATTTTCCTTACTGCTCTTGCTTTAGTAATGGATTATCATTTGGGACTCTGGTACGCATTGGTATTTATAGGTAGATCCTGCTCTGTTATGCTCTAAATAAATTGTTCTTTGAAAATTGATGGGAATGCTTTGACATAAAGTGGTGGTTGAAATTCTCTGGTTGCAATTATTATTATTATTATTTTAAATCTTAAGTTGTCATTAGATAGTTTGAAATTTTAGTGCGTGATTAAGTTTGCATGCATCTGAAGATAGGGCTTGTGTGGTGGCAGAGCTCCCACCCACTGACTGTTATGTGTTGGTGCAATCCCTATAAGCAACCTATCTTAAAACACAGGTGATTACTTACATTTACATCTTCGTTCTCCAAAATCTACAAATTTAGGAACTCACTGTGGGTATAGGTAGGTGCTAAGTTGGCTCAATAGAAATTGGGTCAACCAAAAATGGATTCTTTTACCATGTCTATAGTTTGGAAGTTCCAAAATGGATTAAGTTTTCGAGACAAGGGAGTACAACTCTAACTATAATCTCAACTCATCCCTCTAGTTAAGAATTAATGTTCTAAAAAAATATGACTAAACTGGGCTGTGGCCATGCCTTTTCCTGTGATGTGTTGCAATTTGTTGGATCAAGTTATTAGATATTCAAATTTGCTTTCTCCTTGGTTTAAGTACTTATTTTTATTCATCTTGCAGTTATACATATTCTAACACAACAGCCTCCGTACGAAGGACTAGGTATAAGATTAGTGTACAGTTATGCCTCTTGTTCTTTTTGGCATGCATTTATTTTGTTATCAAGTTTATTATTTGATATTAAGTTTATTCATGAATATGATAAGATTGACCCAAACCTTATTTTTGTCACATTTGTTTAGGTAACTCAATTCATTTAACCCCACTACAATTGGAGGCTTTGCTTACTGAAGGAAACACTTCAAGATTTTGGTTGGTTGGTATTATAAATCATATTTCCTGTTCCCAACTGACTGTTTTGGATATTGACAATAATAAAGTTTTTCATGCTTTCCGTATGTTATTGTTTTTTGATGCTTAAAGTAGTAAATTAATTATGACCATGTTTACTGTGAAGCTAGCACTAATTTTCCAACTTTTGTTGAATCCCTCCCGTGGTCAATCTTGTATAAATTGTTGATTATTCAACCTTGATACATCATGTGTGCGGAAGCTACAATTATGTTAGAGCAAAAACTTGTCCAATATTGTAACGGAATGAGTATTTTTTTTCTCCTCTTTTACATTTCCTGGGTTGGCTAAATAATTACTCTGTGTTTGGTATTATAATTGTGCCAATCTGCTCTCTGGTTTATTTTGATTAGGTGAGTACAAATAGGTTTTGTAATTTATGAAGAAATGGAATCTTTTAGAAACTCTACTACGCAATTGATTGAATAGATGGCAGGGTGGGCCAAATTGACATGAAAATATTGCACACACACTCAAGTCACATGTTCAAATGATCTAAAATGAATCACACAGAGACACACACTATCTCTCTCATGTTCCTTTCCTTTGATTTTTTAATATGGTAAACTTTTCCAGGTAGAATTCCGTGCATTATCGACATCAACCTGTATATGTACCAGTTCATTTTTCCCTGAACTCTCAATTACGTAAGTGTTATAAGGCAGCTTCTGGAATCGTCAAGTAATTAGGTTCTATCTGTCAAAAGCTGATATACGAAGTTGAAGAATTCATTTATTACACTTCCTGCTGTTTCTGGCAAAACTGCTGCATGTCCATGTGCTCAGCTGTCTTTTACATTTTCTTTAACAGATACTCGAACAAAAATTTGTCTTTTGGGGTAGTTGATCTTGGACTCTTCCCAAATGCTGCAGAAAAGTTTGGAATCTCTTTGGGTAAAAATACATTTAATTGCTATTATCTTGGTTTGATAAGTTTTTCTAGTTAAATAGGAATATATATATATATATATATATATATATATATATATATATATATATATATATATATATATGTATATATATACTTTTTATTGACCGACATATCTGTGTATACTTGATGCAGCAAGCTTAAGCCAACTTCCAGTGTATATACTATTTGAGAATGGAAACGAGGTCACACGTTTTCCTGAGTTGGATTTTCAGGGTACAGTTTTTAGTTTTTCCATAACGAAGGTAATCTCTATTAATGATTCATGTTGCACAATGCTTTCATCCTTATTTTTCATGTTGCAAAATCTCAAGTTCATGAAAAATTTATGCTTTCTTTTGTATGCTGCCACTAAGTGGTAATCTTCTGAAATGTCTATTTCACATTTACAATTTGATTCATTGTCATATTGTCTCTACGAAAGTTAAAAGCAGTCCAAAAGGGAAGCAATTGTTGGTGCTTTAATATTCGCTAGTGATGTGATATAGGAGACTTTATTAATTAAGAAATAATTTTAATTAGAGGAAGAAGGAAAAGACAATCCTTCAGCATGCTCTCCTCTGGCATGCTAGATTGGGAATTGGGATGCAGTTATGGAATTTTATCCAGGAAGTACTGAAATTGAGTTTTGGATCAGTTCTGTTATGCTCTTGTTGACTCCTCATTAGACTCGTGCACTCAGCTCCTATGGTTAATATGAGATGGGTTTTCTTAAATTTCAGTTAAGAGAATACAATTACTCCCCTCGATCAATTTATTGACCTCATTGCAACTCCTAGCCATGGCAAGTACAATCTTCCACAGTATTTATGCCCCAGTTTACAAACATGTCAAGATCCACTTTCCAAAATTAGGACAAGTCTGTAGAACCCAGCCCTTTTCTTTAGGATTTCTAACATATATATTGTTGTTGGGTTGGTTGAAATGAGGGTTATGAGTAGAAGGTGAGAAAATGGGCCTACTTAATCACTACACTATATATACGATACTTAGATCCTCTTACCCCAATACATGCACCATCCCCATTTCTCACTCTTCAATCTTCATTTTCCCTTCTCATTCAAACGCAATTTTCTTCTCCACTTACCTTCTTGTTTTCTTTATCTTATTTTTCTTCCCATACAAGCATAGCATTAATTTCCACAAGACCACAATTGATGAAGGTATAGTAAGGAACAATCATTATTGTGTGGACCATGGTCCACAAGCTGTGTGGGTCATATTTTGTATACTGTAAAATAATATACATTCAGTACAAAAATAATGTACTTTTAGTATATTAAAATGTACATTGTATTCAGGGGATGCACATTATTCGTGTACTGAGTGTACATTATATTGTATAATGTACATTCAGTACACAAATAATGTACATTTAGTATATTAAAAATGTACTTTTTGTTATGGTCCACACAATAATTTGCCTAGTAAGGATAGCATAACTACTCTTTCAAAAAGACCATGGTGGGTCAACCATGCGGGAATCCATAGCCTTGTGTCATGGCAAACTATGGTCTTCTTGTCTATCACTCTATCCATTACCCAAGACAGTGTTTCTTCAACTTTTATGGTAGTTGATGTTGAAACACAAAGAGTTGTCTATAAGATTGTCTTTTGAGTATATATATATATATATATATATATATATATATATATATGTATGTTGTCTCTCCATTGGGATGTGGAATATAACAAATTTTTCTCATCTTCTCCACATGGTATCAAAAGCCAATTATTTATTTATTTTTTATTTTCCATTGCATGAACAATAGTGAATAGTAGGTTACTTGCTTTTGATGAGTTTTTCTGTCAAATTAGTGCTACTAACCCCTTCTATTGTCTCGAGCGACCATAGCCCATCTTGTCCTGCTGCCGGTTCCCCTTCACGCGCCACCACGTTGTTGGCGCTTTAACAACACGTGCCGGCGAGTGAGGGCATCTCTGGCAGCTTTCTTTGGCGAAAAGCTCCAGTTGTCCTTGTCGGCCTTCTGTGGCTTCTTTTGTGCCATTAGTTTTCTTTTTGGTGGTAATGTCCCCCGACAAAAATTTTGATAATTGGAGTACTATTTTTCCTTTTGCTAGTAATATGCCTACTTTCTTAGCTCTATTTATGTGCCTAAAGCCTGGTGATCACTTCCAAAAATTAGTAGCCTCCTTCGGCGATTTTCCATGTGGTTCTCAAAATTATCAATCTTAGTCAGATTTTGTTGAGTTTTGGTTTATGAGCCAAGGAGTTGCTAACCACTTAAAAAAGGGGGTGGATAAGATACCGAAAAATAAAAAGGAAATTTGGGAAAGGTTAGATGCTCAGTTATGTAGCCTCTTTTGGCAATTTCTTTCTCCACAATTGTTGCCTCTCTTTAGGATGTTTAAAACACGTGTAGAGGTATGGAATCACGCTAAATTTCTATATACTAATTATATCTCTCAATTCTACACTATTGTTGATAACTTAGTTAACTTGAAGAAAGATGGTATTGATATGGAAACGTTCTTCCGCAGAGCCCAACGATTGATGACTAAGTTTGGTACACTCATGCTTATTGACAGAACACATGTAGAGCAACTTACCCAACGAGAAAAAATCTTTGTAGTACTTCTTTTGACCAAATTAGGTTTATAATTTGAAAGTACTTGGAATCAAATTCTTGGAAGCAACATTGTCCCACGAACCACCAAGTTGTTCAAATGTCTCTTGTAGATAACCTCCATTCCAATTGTTCACACATCTATTTCTAAACAATATACTCTAGTGACACAAAGAGGTTGTGGACGAACTAGCTATCGTGGTGAACAAAAAAACACTAGATTTTGTGGTCATTGCAATAGATCTAGACACACACGGGACCAATGTTTGAAACTTCGTGGAAAACCAATGCTTACTCAGGTTAGTTTTGCTCAATCTCAACCGGGAGAACCAAGTTACCGAACCATTTATGCCGCTGAATATGAAGAGTTTGTTCGATTTAAACCTAATGGCCAAGGCTTCCGGTGTCACTCCTGTTGAGAAAGATGTAAAAGAAGTTGTTGTATTACTTGCTTGTCTCAATGGGGAGACAACAGATAAATATATACAGACTAAGAGACACAACCCTACACAACTTCAACAACTATATTTCTACAGACACAACTTTTGTGTTTCAACACTCCCCCTCAAGCTGGAGCATGTATATCATATGCACCAAGCTTGTTACAAATGTATTCAATCCTAGGACTTCTTAAAGCTTTAATAAATATACCAGCTAATTGATTATTTGAGCCTATAAAAGATGTAGTAATATCTCCAGATGTAACTTTGTCTCTAATAAAATGGCAATAAATTTCAATGTGTTTCGTCCTTTCATGAAAAATTGGATTTGATGCAATATGCAAAGTTGCTTGGTTATCACAAATGAGCTTCATGGACTCCTTTGTACAAATCTTCAGTTCAGTAAGGAGGTTTTTCAACCACATAAGTTCACATGTTCCAACGGCCCTAGATCGATATTCGGCTTCTGCACTTGATCGAGCAACAACATTTTGCTTTTTACTTTTCCAAGAGATTAAGTTGCCACCGAGAAAGATACAATATCCAGATGTTGATTTTCTATCCCATGCACCTGCCCAATTTGCATCTGTGTACCCAATAATTTCAAGGTTTCCATGGTCTTTGTACAACAAACTAGTGCTTGGAGATTTTTTAATATATCGTAAAATCCGAATGGCAGCTTCCCAATGACTTTCACGTGGAGATGCCAAGTACGGACTAATAGCACTTACCGCAAAAGAGATATCAGGTCGAGTTACAGTTAAATAAAGTAATCTTCCAACCAATCGTCTATATTTTCCTGGATCCTGGATAAGCTCCCCCTGATCTGGTAGGAGTTTGACATTTGGATCCATAGGAGTGTCAAGAGGTTTGCAATTCATCATACCTGTGTCTTCTAGTATATCCCATGCATACTTTGTGATATGCAAATTTGTTGCTTGGATTGTGCTACTTCAATTCCCAAAAAGTATTTTAATTTTCCGAGATCTTTTATTTCAAAATGTTGGAATAGATGTTGTTTCAACAATTGTATTCCTTCAACAACATCTCCTGTAATGACGATATCATCAACATATACAACAAGATAAATGCTCTTACCATGTTGATGTCTATGATGCTGAGGGAATTCTATTTTTAAAACAACACCTATTCCAACATTTTGAAACAAAAGATTTCGGAAAATTAAAATGCTTTTGGGAATTGAAATAGCACAATCCAAGCAAGGAATTCGCATATCACAAAGAAAGTATGCATTGGATATAATGGAAGAAACGGGAGTGATGAATTGCAACCCTCTTGACACTCCTATGGATTCAAACGTCAAACTCCTACCAGATCAGTAGGAACTTATCCTAGATCTAGGAAAATAATATTGACGGCTGGTAGGGAAATTACTTTATTTAACTATAACTCGACCTAATATCTCTTTTACAGTAAGGGTTGTTAGTCAATTATTGGCATCTCCACGTGAATCACTGGTAGGCTACCATCTAGATTTTGCAATATATTAAGAAATCTCTGGGCACTGGTTTGTTATACAAAAACCATGGAACCCTTAAAATTGTTGGCTGTACGGATGCAGATTGGGTAGGATGTGCATTGGATAGAAAGTCAACATTTGGATACTGTATCTTCCTTGGTGACAACTTAATCTCTTGGAAAAGTAGAATGTTGTTACTCGATCAAGTGCATAAACTGAAGATCGATCCATGGCTCTCGAGACATGTGAACTTGTGTGGTTGAAAAACCTCCTTATTGGTTGAAGGAGTCCAAGAAGCTTATTTGTGATAATCAAGCAGCTCTGCATATTGCATCAAATCCATTTGTTTTTCATGAAAGAATGAAACACATTGAAATTGATTGCCATTTTGTTTGAAACAAAGTTGCATTTGGAGATATTACTACTTCTTTTGTAGGCTCTAATGATGAATTAGCTGATATATTTACTAAATCTTTAAGAAGTCATAGGATTGAATTTTTGTAACGAGCTTGGTGCATATGATATACATACTCCAACTTGAGGGGGAATATTGTAGTGTCTGTAGTAATGTTGAGCATGTGTCGGCGATGGAGATTGACCTCCATTAGTCACCGGAGCGGTGTAAGATTGGGCTGTTGCCATTCCTCTGATATCATAACAGATTGTGTAACAGCAGAGAAAGAAAAGATTCTAGAAAATGTATTACTCCAAAATGAAAGTCAACCAATACAGTATATAATGACGTAGCCAGCTTAGCCAAAGTAACTGTGAAGCAACAAATATAACTAAATGACGTTATTGGACTCCACCACATACGCAGCTGAGCTGGCACCATCCTTCAACATGTAGAGTTGTGTCCTTTGAGTCTATATATATATATATATATATATATATATATATATATATATGTATGTATATATGTTGTCTGGAATATAACAAATATATCTTTTCATCTTGTTCACAGTTGAAACTGTCTGATTCAGTGTTTTACTAAGAGTTATGTTTTGGAGTTTCTTCTGCATCCTCTTTGAACTTAATAATTGTACCTTGACATTTAATGCTTTGAAGGAATTGTTTTTGGCACAAAGGTTTTTTTATTTTGTCAACTGAAGAGATTTTTCTTAACTGCAGAAAATCCTGTGTGAGCGCTTTGAACTGGATAAGCATCTTCTAGATTACATAAATGGCAAATAGGTAAGTTGGCATCCTATATTCAACCTTATTATTCTCACCACGGCATTCACTTTGTTCCACCTTTTGTGTTTACACATCGTCTGTTTGGTAGCATAGTTAGCTTATCAGCTCATTTTGACTTATTTGACCACTATTAGCTTTTTGTAACAGTTTATTGCTCTAAAATGTTAAAATTCAAAGGCCCTGTTTGGTAAAATAGTTAGCCTATAGACCAATTTTGACTTATTTGACCACTATTAGTTGTTTGACTTGGTTTAAAAATCAATATAAGTGTTTGGTTAATTAGCTTTTTGTACTCTAAAATGCTAAAATTCAAAAAAGCTACTCAAATCAACTTTTTCAATTAGCTTTCTGAGAAAAGAAATTATACTAAACAACTAATTTACCAAACACATTTTTACAATAAGCTAATGTTATCAACTAGTTATACCCTCTAATTAATCCAATCAGCTATCAAGCTTTTTTAGAAAGTCATTTTGCATGTAATCAGGTAAAGTTAATTTACCTGACATCTTTCTACAATCAGCTAATGTTATTAACTAATCAGACTCACTAACCTAATCAGCTAACAGTTAATTACCGAACACCCCATTGTTGCACATGATTTGTGTTCTACACATTGTATATGGCATTAAGACTTGAGAAACCTGTAAAGCAGGTGAGGTTGATGTATTCCGAATGAGGCGAGGCATTCGGTACCAGATCGATATGTGGATCAACACGTTATTGCTCAATGAATTGACCCTTTAATGAGCGGTGAAAGTGGGGATTTGTTACAAACCATAAGATTTACGATAGCCAACTCGTATTTCACGTTCATGTCATTCTTGTAACACAGAAGGGCAAGGGACTATGGTTTTTCAAACTTTTGATACAATTTTTCCAGAAATTTCATGCAGTTTATTTAGTTATAATTTTTCACAAGTATAGTTGGTATAAACCTTTTGATACAATTTCAAACTTTTTTTTTTTCCTTTTTGTTCTGTGTGACAATTTGTGCCTAGTGAAAACAGCAATACAAGTATTAATATGAAGCTTGGTAGGAAGGAGGGAATTACGGAGGAAAAGAATTGTAATTCGGTGAAAAAATAATAAGGTGAGAATAAAGTAGGAATTCAAATTATATTATTTGGTAAGAATGAATTAAATTATTGAGAATGGGAAGGGAATAAGTGACATAAAAATTAAAATGCTCTTGTGTAATAATAATAATAGGAAAAGGGAAAGTAACACTTTTTCCTCTTGAGTTATACACTTATAACACTTTTTTCCCTGAATTATTTAAGTGGCTGTTTTTCCTTTAGAAATGTTAAATGGACATATTTACCCTTATAAACTGAACAGACACTAGCAACCAAACTGAAATATTCCAATTATAATTTAGAATCAAAACTTTATATTTATAGTTTATTAAAATCGCAAACCAGAATGGCCGGTTCATGTTCTGAATTGAAAAAAAATAAAATACATATATTGTTGAATTTAGACCATTTTAAAAATAAAAAATAAAATTTTAAAATAAAGACGGTTCAAAATCGCGAACCGGATCCAGAAAGGCCGGTTCACGGTTCAAGATCCAGTTTTTTTTTATTCATAATTTTAATAAACTGAAATTCAAATATTGAGTTATGAATCTGAATCATAACCGGAAACTTTCAATTCGATTGTTATAGTGTCCAGTTCAGTTTGAACTGAACCATGGTCATTCCTACGTATAAGCAATAATTTGTTGGAGAAGAAAAATAAATAAAATGTTTACTTGAAAGGTAGAAATGTCAATTTAATATATAAGGGGACAAAACCACCACTTTTAAAATAATTGAGGGGACTAATATGCTTACATGAATAATTCAGGGGGAAAATATGCTATAAACATATAATTCAGGGGAAAAAAATATCATTTTCTCATAGGAAAATGCTATTTATTACTCCAAATTTTATTCCTAATATTTTTCCCATGATATGGTTAATAATTATTGGGTACCCATGAATGTGGTGACTCCACTAATTGTTAAAAATAAAGTTACTCGTCCAATTAGGAAATGCCATGCACTGATGCAAGGTGGGGGAAATTTTGCAGGGTTAGGTAGCATAATAATAAGGGGAAAAGGTTCAATAGACCCTTTTAATTTTTAATGAAAAAGTAATTAGGTCCTCAAACATTAAAAAAGGTTCAATTATATACTTAAACTCTTTAAAATTATACAATTAGACATAATTTACAGGTAACCAACAAATTATTGGTAAAATATATATATATATATATATATATATATATATATATATATATATATATATATATATATATATATAATTTTTTTCTTTTGCTTTTGGCCGACGACGATCTTCGCAACCTCCTTCCAATTTGGAAGGAGGCTGAACGTCGTCGCTTCCAACCTCCTTCCGATTTGGAAGGAGTCGGATGCTGCCTCCTTCCGATCTGGAAGGAAGCAGCCATTGCATCCTTTCGATCTGGAAGGAGGCAGCCATTGCCTCCTTCTAGACCGGAAAGAGACGGCCACCGCCGTGGCTTCCTTCCAGACTGGAAGGAGGCGGCCGTTGTCTCCTTCCAGACGGGATGGGGGCGAACGCCGTCGTCGCCTCCTAGTCTGGAAGGAGGCGGTCACGTCGTTGCCTCCTTCCAATATGGAAGGAGGTGACGTCGTTGCCTCCTTCCAGACTGGAAGGAGCGGCCACCGTCGTTGCCTCCTTCTAGTCTAGAAGGAGGCAGCCGCCGTCATCGCCTCCTTCAAGACAGGAAGGAGGTGATGGTGTTGCCTCCTTCCAAACTGGAAGGAGGTGACGTTTGCCTCCTCCTTCCAGTTTGGGAGGAGGCAGCCGCCGTCGCCTCCTTCCAGTCTGGAAGAAGGCGACGGAAACCTCTTTTTAGACCGACGACGAAGTGCAAGTAAAATGTATTACAAGTGCATGTAAAATGTATTATAGGTGCAAGTAAAAATTTACACTGAGTATCAATACTTAGTTGCACCTATAGTTCTAAGTAGTTGCACCTATTGTTTTAAGTAATTGCACACATAGTTATAAGTAGTTGCACCTAGGTGTATGAATGTTTGCGAGTGGTTTTCAGGGGTATTACTACCCGCTGAACTCAGATCAATGAATGTTAACAAAGCAAATTACATGCACTGATAGGTGAAAGTAGGTGCACCTATAGTTATAAGTAGTTGCACCTATAGTTATAAATAGTTGCACATATAGTTATAAGCACACCCAAGTGCATGAATATTTGCTGAAAGTGAATGCTAACAAGGCAAAAATTACATGCACTTATAGGTGAAAGTAGGTGCACTTGTAAGTGATTTTACTTGCACTTCGATGTTCAATTATTTACGAAAATGCCACCGCATTTTTTTTTAAAGTTATTAGATCTGGACATGTGTCGCGCGCTGATTCGTTCGCATTTCCCTCCTGAACACTTATTCGCACCTGAGTGCATCCTTATATATATATATATATATATATATATATATATATATATATATATATATATATATATATATATATATATATATATATATATATATATATTTATTTATTTATTTATTTATTTATTTATTTATTTATATATATTAATTTCTTTACTTGGTAACCTGTAAATTTAGTTTAATTGCACTGTTTTAAAGAGCTCAAGTGTATAATTGAACTTTTTTAATGTTTGAGAGCCTAATTGCTTTTTCATCAAAAGTTTAAGGGTCTAGTTGACCCTTAATAATAATAATAATAATAATAATAATAATAATAATAATAATAATAATAATAATAATAATAATATTTATTGAATTGAGGGAATTAAATTGCAATTCTATGTAGTTTCTATCTCGTTTTCATTGTAATTGAATTACAATTCATGCTAACCAAACACTCCATAAGTGATTTTTGGTTCAACATTAACTATAAGAGATACCTTTAAAATTCATAGAATACTCACACTAATTTATGAACATATCTAATCGACCCAATTAAATGATAAAGTGCTGAACATATTATTTTTTCTGTCTTTAAACATTTGACATTTCTTTAAAAAATGAGAGTCCATGATCACTTACAGTAACTAAGTTGGTTACAAGTATCAAGTGATTAATACGTGTAATAGTTAATTTGAGGTTTATCGAGTTTTTTGCACTTTTAGTCCCACGACTATGGTGGCACTGGCAAAATTGATCCACGACTTTTGAACCTTGCAATTTTAGTCCACGACTATTGATTTTTTTGCAAAAATGGTCATTCCGGCCACTTTTCCGTCAAAATTTCACCGGAAAAAAAAATTCTTCATTTTTAGCCGCGTTAAAATTGACATTTTACTTATCTCAAAAAATTAAAAGAAAAAAATTGATATTTGACTACATACAATATTACTGGGCTACATACTACTGCCCCAGGCGGCGGAGTTCCTGGAGCAGGCAGGGCTGTCAGTAAGCGATGGAGCGGCCGTGGCGTTTCCCGGGCTAGTTGGGTTATCCGGCAGCAGCATTGGAGTGGGTTATCCGGCAGCAGCATTGGAGTGGTACATGTACTCCGCCGCCTGGGGTAGTAGTATGTAGCCCAGTAATATTGTATGTAGTCAAATATCAATTTTTTTCTTTTAATTTCTTGAGATAAGTAAAATTTCAATTTTAACCTGGCTAAAAATAGAGAATTTTTTTTTCCGGTGAAATTTTGACGGAAAAATGGCCGGAAGGACCATTTTTGCAAAAAAAATCAATAGTCGTGGACTAAAATTGCAAAGTTCAAAAGTTGTGGATCAATTCTGCCAGTGTCACTATAGTCGTGGGACTAAAAGTGCAAAAAACTCTTATGAGCAGATAATTGACGTAAATAAGATGCAGTTTTTAAATTGGTTAGTTGGCAAAGATACGAAAATGGGTTTAAATAAAGATTGGGAAGGTGGGGATGTTTGAAGTTTGAACGCAAGGCAGCTGAGAAGTTCACTTTACTGCCCGCTCGATGAAGCATATGATCATCATCCAAGTATTCTTACAAAACAAACCAACATCTATTCACTGTATTATTAATATTAATATGAATTTAGATTAGATGTAAAAAAAACTTTTGGTTTTTTAATGATTATATTAGTCAGCTCTTGCAATTGAAATTTTCTGGGTCATCAATCAGAGTCAGGCAATGCTAAAATCCAGTCAGTCAGTCATCCTTTTTGTTTGATTTATTTTCTGAGATGAATGGTGGAAACAAAGAGTAAAATTACATGGACTTTGTATTTGTGCTTGTTTACTTTTACTCCATAATGTGGTAATATATAATTAGTTATTTTTATCTTGTGGGTTCCAAAGAAAATGTTAATATCAAAATTTTGAAAAGAGTAAAAATTAGAAGTAAAATTTGAGAGTAAAAGTAGTATTTTTTGAAAACAAAAACCCTAGTGACAGGCATCATAATGTAACCAGAGTGTAAGGAGGTGGCCCGTACAGGCTTAACTCAGTAATTTAGTAAATCATATTTGAGAGAAGAGACTAAGATTCGGAACTCGACAGCAACATTGTGATATTATGTTCAAAATAGATAGATAGATCTATTTGCTGATCTACTGAATTATCGTAATTTATCTCGTCTTAGGTGTTCTGTTGGGTCGAGACATGAAGGCCTTAAGATTTGAGGATTCAATTCGGAGAAGAAGGTAGAGTCAATCGTTATGCTGTGCATCCGTATGCACCATGCATGGTGCATACGGATGTCAAAACGACGTCGTTTTATTAAAAAACGCGCGTCTCCCCTTTAAAAAAAATTCAGGTTCGATTCCCAGCAACAACATTATATTGTTCATTCATTCTGGAATTTTAGTTCATAAATTATGGAATTATAGTTCATTGATTATGGAATTATAGTTCATCGATTATGGAATTGTAGTTCATCGATTCTGAAATTTTAATTTATAGATTATAGAATTTTAGTTCATTCATTCTGGAATTTTTAGTTC